GGTCCAGGCTGCAGTGGCCGGGAGCGGCCACTGCACTCCAGTCTGGGTGACGGAGTAAGACTCATCTCAAAAAAAAACCAAAAAAAAAAAGACTAGCAGGGCAAAAAAGGGTAGGGTGAATATCTTAATCTGTTTTGCATTGCTATGAAAGAATACCTGAGACTGGGTAATTTATAAAGAAAAGAGGTTTATTTAGCTCACCGTTTTGCAGGCTGAGAAGGTCAAGGGCATGGTCCCGGTTTCTGATAAGGCTTTTGTGCTGTGTACAACATGGCAGAGAAGGTCAAAGGGGAGGTAGACACATGTGAAGAGGGAAACCTGAGAGACGTCCTGGCTTTATAACAGTTCACTCTCTCAGGAGCTGAGTCTAGTCTCAGCCAGAAGTTACCCACTAAGAGACCTGCTTCAGGACAGCCCCAGGCCGGTCCTGAGGGTCTGCTCCTCCCACCCAAACACCTCCCACTAGGGATCCCCCCCAGCATCACATGGGGATCACTTTTCAACAGGAATTTTCAAGAGGATAAGTGGACCACATCTAGACCATAGCAGTAGGATAATTTTGAGATTAATAATTGTAGGGTGAAATTATTACCTCAAGAGGAACGGAAGGGAGGAGCTGGTGTTACCAGACTTTTAGGAATGCAGAGGAGGGGCTTCCCTCTACCACTGCTGCCACTGTCCGAGCTGAGGCCACGAGGTGGACTTGCCAAGGCTTTAACCTGGTTTAGTGCTTTTTATTAGTTTTTGGCTTATTCTTTCAATGTTTGTTTTTGCAAAAATAAGCAAATCTATACATCTATTCATTTTTCTCTTTTCTTACACAAAAGCTTCCACTGCTGTGTATACTGTCCTGCACTTTGGGTTTTTGTTTTTTTTTTTTGAGTCGGGGTCTTACTCTGTCACCCAGGCTGGAATGTAGTGGCATGCTCAAGGCCACTGCAGCCTTGACCTGCTGGGCTTAGGTGATCCTTCCACTTCAACCTTCCAAGTAGCTGGAACCACAGGCATGTGCCACCATGCCCAGCTAATTTTTTGATTTATTGTGGAGACGAACTCTCACCACGTTGCTTAGGCTGGTCTCGAACCTCTGAGCTCACATAATCCTCTCACCTCCATCTCCCAAAGTGTAGGGATTATAGGCGTGAGCCACCTGCTGGCTTGCTTTTTTTTTTTTTAACTTTTATGTATTACCTTGGAGATCATGCCACATGGAACAAAGGTAATCTTTTCATTTGTTTGTTTTTTGAGTTAGAGTCTCACTCTTTGCTGCTCAGGCTGGAGTGTAGTGGCACAATCACAGCTACGCTCACACCTGCTGGGCTCAGGTGATCCTTCTGCTTCAGCCTTCCAAGTAGCTGGAACTATAGCTGCGTGCTACCATGCCTGGCAAATTTTTGGTTTATTGTAGAGATGAGATCTCACCAAGTTGCCCAGCCTGATCTCGAACCCCCCGGGCTTAGGCAGTCCTCTCGCCTTGGCCTCCCAAAGTGCTGGGATTACAGGCTGAGCCACTGTGCGCGCAGCCTCCCCCCCCCCCC